GATGGTCGCGCTCGCATTGTGCAATACCTTGTAACTTGCCAAATTATACCATAACGACGGTAACGGGTTACTTCGTATAATGTTCAGGAGAAAATAAATTACATTCACGAGAATCGTGCGCTTTTATCAGATTTGCTTAGAAGAAATCCTACGTGCAATCATACAATTCAACAGTTTAAATGTTTTAACTTAATGAATTATTAAATTTTCATTTTGTTTCGTTGACGATAAATAAAATCGGTGGAGGAAAAAATCGATTACGACCTTTCAGTTATTACCTACAAGAGACATGAAGTTCTCAACGGAATTCATTTAAGTACCTCAATTTGTTTTATATACTAGAAACAAGAACAGCGAACTTGCTTTGACGTCTTCAAAAACGAAATACAGATTTAATATATTTTGCAGAAAAGATAAAAGATCTAATGAGAATTTGGATGTCTTTAGTCGATTTTAAGATAAAATTACGATGTTAAGCGGATTCCATTAACACTGTTTATTCAGAGTCCCGCCAATCAGTATTTGCATGACTCCTTTTTTTGACACGATTTTCTTTTACTCGGTAAGCTTTCACCGTGTAAAAAGTCAGACGGATCTTCTTTATTCAAACGATCGTCTCTGTGATTAAAATAATATGCAGGGTAGATCAATAAAAAATGTCATCTAGACTAAATTATTTTCGGATTTTATGATTTGTTAAAATAAAAGAATTTGTAAATTCAATCAGCTTGATCAATTTTATTGAAAATTCGTACGAAACTAGTTTTAACGAAACAGTTAAAGCGTTGAAGTAGCTGATAATAACAGAAAAGGCTTGAATACTGTTTGTGCGGTCATCAAAGTCTCCGGTAGCGCACCGAACGCTCCGCACAAAGCATAATAAAAAGGAATCTGCGTGCTTTTACAATGGCGGACACGTCACTGTACAGATTATCATCCTGATAAACTGTTGACTCTGATCTAACGGGTAGACGTAATAAATCTGCAAAGTGCGACGACTCGCATGTATTAATATTCAATGGTTTCTTTATCTTCGTTTAACGGGACAATGAGAACGAAGCCGGAACAATTGTCCTATCCTCGCGAGTCATTCCGCAAAAAACCGTTGAAGAAAATGCAAGCTGCACAAAATGCAAAAGTAATAAAGTTTGATGAACTTATTAATCGAGATTGCATCAATCAATTCTTGTATTTTACCAAATTACAGTTCATTTTAATAACTCTTCTTCATGCAATAATTAAATATTTCTGTTATACATAAAATTATTATTCTCTGCGAAGGTTTGAGAATTTTTAATTAACCGAATCGTTGCTACACGCTCGGCCGATTTTATAGGGAATGAATGTCTCCGTGGAAGATAAGCCGGTGAATTTACAACCGCGATGATCGCTAATAAAAGCCGGAACCGTTCGATTTTTATCGGGTAATAATTGGGATACGGTGACGCGTTACAAAGGGAATAAGCTTTCGGTGCCTTTGACGCTAATTCTTTTCGTCGCGCAGAGGCTTGCACATTGTATAGTACAGTTTAATTGACACGCGAGCCGTTTAATGAGTTAACGTCGTCGGCGAGCGAATTTGCACCTGCGAGCCGCGTGATAATCGACGCGAGGCCATCGACATCGAGGCCGAAACGAAACGAGCGATGCGGGAGAAAAAAGAAGAAGTAGGGGACCCGAGAAAAGGAGGAACCGGTTCCAGTCGTTTTTCTAAACCAGTTTAGGACAGACTTCGGTTGCTACTCACTATACCGTTGTAACCGCGCCAGGCTATCATCGAGACTCCAGCCCCGGGTCCAAAACCCAATTAGCCTGTCTCCCAATTACATAACTGAAAATCAATTTCGATATCCACTTACTACGGGGAAACGAATAAAGAACAGATATACTTTGCTAACTCCATCATGCTTGACTGAAAAACAACCGACTTCAGATTTTAGGAAGATTGTATAGAACAATGTCTAAAAATCCACATTAATTGACATTTCACATGTTTTAAATTCCACATTTATTAACATTAAAGCTACCGACAGTTTTTGTACACTAATTTACCACATAATTTATATCTTTTAGATTTTAATGCAGATTAGTGTTGATTGACACCCTTGTTGTCACCCTAATTTGAACAATAATTAAGAATTTAACAATATGATTGAACCGTTCTCTTATATCTTGTAGAAGAATTTAAAGCAGTCAGTTGACCAATGCAGGGTAGGTTTACTGTTAAGGTTTTATGAGTCCTTAAATAAAGACAATGACAAATCATTCAAACAATAATTATTAGATATAATATTATATTAATAGAACACTGTGCAAAATTTTGGATATTTTGGGAATCTGTTAAAGAGTTATTCAGCACGTACGTGTTAGATTTAGTTGTTACTCGCCCCAAGAGTCTGGGATAAATTCCGTGGAGTAAGTTCACAGTCCTCTTACCAGAAGGTCTCATTTCTTTCTCCACTCCGTGACCAGACCCTCAGATTATTAGGATACAACATGTAGAATGGCACCGCTGACGAATCCCTTCAATGTGCAATATACTTCGTATTGCTCGAGCTCGCTAGAACTCTCCGCGCTTCCGCCGGCAATCGTCGGTCACGGATATCTCTACTTGCACGGACGGATGTCTCCGTCCTTTGACATACAATGTGTCCAATAAAAACTATGCTGCGCATTCCTGACCTCGACACGTACAATCGTCCTTAAAAATGACTTGCTGTTAACGTACGTTAAAATTTTGACGTAATTTTCATTTATGAAGAAATATAGATATAATAATGTCAGAATTTAATTATTTTGTATAATTGTACAATAGATGTTCTAAGAGTATTTTATAGTTGAAATAATATCTACTTGGAGGATATTATTCGAGATAAATAATAAAAGTGAGCAAAAGTAAGAACTGAAGTACTTATAGACAATGTAAACAATTTCAAATCAGTAAGAATCATATCAAGCAGAGCCAAAATCATATATTAGAATATTAGTAAATATACTAAAGATGAAACAGCTAAGTTTCTAAGGCACTATTAGCCCCCTTTTTTACCCATATTGTTATTTATTATTTATATATTTAAGAAAAAAAGAACAACTGTCTAAGTACTTATTACATATTATTATTATTATCTAGAACCGAGTGCGAACATAATGTAAGTCTGCGTGACCCCCAGAGTTCCTGTTATAGCCATATGGCTCATACATTCTAAGAAGTGTAAGGGTTTTCTTATTTTCATATGTTCCCATAGCTATAATATGTATTATTGAAAAGAAAAATTAGTAAATATATGCTAGCAGCAAGTCGTTTTTTGGGACGATTACGCTTATCGGGGTGGACACGTGGGGAATGTGCGGTCTGGTTTTCAAGAGTTGCTGATATTCGGTGCATTGTGTCTATCAAACGACAAATACATTCTAAGTAGAAGTAGAAGCATCGATAACCGACGATTACCGGCGGAAGCGCGGAGAGTTGTACGATTCGAGCGGTACTCTGTTGCACATCAAGGGGATTCGCGTTGTGGCCGATGTTTGAAGCCATGGTGCTGTTAGTGTGTAATAAAAGTATTCTCAGGGTCTGGCCACGGAGTGGGGAAAGAAATGAAACCTTCTGGTAAAAGGACTGTGAGGAACAGTACGGCACTTACCCTAAACGCTCCGAGGAGTACGAAACGATCTAAATACCTAACATGTATGTTAAGAGTTCCCTGTGACTTAAAGAGTCACGTCGAATAATCTTATAAATCTTACTTATCTGTAAATATTATTTTTCCTAAAAGTTCATCGTTTCAAACACTGGACATCTTCTAAGACTCAGTTTCTCATTACTTAAACATTTGGCAGAGATCTTATCTATTATCTTATCTAACAGCCTCAAATAATAATTAAAACGTTAACATTGTGAGAACACAATTTTCTTTTCCTTTTTATTTCTTGTAGAAGAGTTTTGCAACGGTCATTTGACCCCTACATGATAGGTTTAGCGCTAAATTGATACCATCGGTATCATATTATGAATAAAAAAGTCAGCGGTGAAAAATAAAACAGAAGAACAAGAAGTAATATAGCGCCGCAGGAAGATTAGTCATTTGTTTTGCTTCGCATACATTTGTGATTTATTATCGGATCTCTAAGAAGACTCTTATTCCTGCGCAATCTCCAATTCGCGGAAGCGACACGGCAAATGTTGTTTGCACACGGTTGTTTACGCACAATACCGTTGTTCGACGGTAACCCGTTGTTTGACACGCGCCGCGGCCGCGGATGAGACCGTTACGCAATCCATAACGCGTTTTCCAGTCCCAGATTACGTTTTTTGGCTGTTTAGACAAGTCGCGTGATTCACCGCAATTATCGAAGGAAACGTTATTAGCTTCTTTTTTTCCCGAAACAATCAATTAGCATCGACGCAAAAAGTATTCCGTCGCGTCGTTAAAATAAACGAGCACAGATCGAGAGTCCGAGTTTACACGGAACACGTTTAACGAGCAGACCGTTTTACAAATCAAATTTGCGGACGAACTACTAAATTGCGATGGCACCTGTAGCTGGCTCGGGACTCGTTTGCACCTGCGCGGCCGGCCCAAAAATATTCCCGGGCAGCACTTTTTTCTCCCGGGACCGGCGAGTGCAAGAAAATATCAAGGGAATTTTAATGAACCAACGAAACCGGCTTCGCAATCTCTCAACGAATCGATACTTATCGAGTCTACGGGAAAATTGTAATTTTTAACGAATCGTAAAATGGTCGCTTTTACTTCCAATTTAACTGTTACGATAAACGAAAAGAGCATCTGTCGTGTTCATCGAAACTTGTGAAAGTCCACAAATCAGCTCTATATTTCATAAGCCTGTTTAACTTTTTAAGAAGATTGGAAATGATAAACGACCAATACGGAATACAGTCGATGTTATCATTGCATATTTATAAATGAAATTGCAAAGGGAAAAATATAACTGCATTCGCCATTGTATTTGCAGGAAATTACAGCAGATATCCTACTTACATTGATGTTTATTGACAATGAGACTGAGGGGTTCGGAGCTACCAAGAGGACTGTTGCTGCCGGTACAGGGTGACGGCGGGCTCTTCCCGAGATGCTGGGCCTCCAGCAGCCTGAGTTGCTGCTGGTGCAGCCGGTTCTTGATCAGAAAGATCTTCGGCATCTTGAGGGACGTGCGTTAACGTCTGACACACTTCACCCCTATAGTTTCACGCCACCATTCCCACCGCCGGTTGCGTTCCTCCGAACCATCAACCGCACCGATCGAATAATAATCACAGGTAAGATCGTGTCTCTGCCCGCCAAAATGGTATCCAGTTCCAGGGACAATATCACTCTCGAACGAAACCGAGTGTCCGCGAGATGATCCACAAGAAAGGTAAACAAATCGAGTTTCCTTTTCACTGTTGGAACGATCACTGTCAACGAACCACGATAGATCAGAGCCTCTTTGCCCCGGTCAGTCCAACGCCTGTATCTTGCTTCTTCTCGATTATCTCTCTTTGTCACGGATTTACAGTTATCCTGGACAGAGGCCGCGGATTGAGCGAACGCACATGAACAATCGACCTCTGTTGAACGACTGAGAGACTCCGTTGCCCGTCCGCGAGGCGAGGCCGGGCCCCGAGCCTTACCCCCACCAGATACCTCGGTCGCACTCCCACCCTCGCAAGGCCCTCCTTCCCCCATCTCCACACGTCACGCACCTCGTATGGCCCATCCAGATTATTTGGTCGCTTTAGCGGCGCTCGCTGGAGATGGGAACCGCATCGCGGGACCGCGCATGCGCCTAACGGAGCATTATACGTGTGCCCAAGCGTGTGAGACTAGAGTCTCCATCACTACTTCAGGATCATCGTCTCTTTCTAACCGAGACCTTTTCCTACCTGTCCCATGGGTTTTTATTACTTCTAGGATACTTCCAGCCTTTTTGTCTAGGATGTATAAAACTGCAGTGTCAAACGACAACTTTTCGTCCTAATCTTCGGTCCTTTATTTGTTCTAGGCAGGACTGCAGATAAATCAAATTGATTGATTTAATTGAATTGAACACCAATTGGTAAATGTGATTCGGATTTAACTAATTAAAATTACTTAATTAGCTTAATTGGAAGAAAATTGGATTAACGATTGAATTTTTATTCTTAATTGAAGAATATTCCGATTATAGACTGACAATGAGATTTAGAAAGGATTTAACTGTTAATCTGCAACCCTGATCCTAGGATACTTGCATAGTGTTTAAGATTTTTATCTAATAATAAGAGTCAAGATTAAGGATGCTGTTTAAGAGGATTTATAAACACTTCTACAGCTTCTACTTTGGTTTTCATTTCTGCAGCGAAGTTAATCTCATCATCCGGACTACGTGGTCCAGGTCTTTCATTCACGCCTTCCAAACTGGTTCCCTCGCGTTCCTACGAAAACGATAAGCCATCTTCAAGAGAAGCGGTCCTTGATTTATTGAAACCCATGTATTTGTAAATGTCGAATCCACGGAATATCTTGCAAGATGTTCGCACGATTATGAATTTATGATATTAATTTAAAAGAATGTCGACAGAAATTTCTATCATCGATTAAGCATCGTTATTTCATATAGCTTCGATATATGATGCATTATAACTAGACTACGGATTTTATGCATTCATAAAAAAATTTATTGACTAGGAAATATAAAGTATGCATGTAATTTATGAAAATTCATAGAACATAAACTGTTAAGTGTATATCGTAATGATTGAATTCTAAAAAACAATTCTATTTATACATCATTTCTTATATTAATAAAAGTTTTGTTTTGCATAAAAATTCGCTGTCTCATTATAACAGGCTGCGTATTAAACGTTTCTATAAATATATTCCGTTCATAGTATTTATAATATTCGCTGGTCTGAAAACAGAAAGGTAGGCTCGAAGAAAATTCACAACTTCCTCGAGTCCTGTACTATGTACCACCTGTGCGATCCCGCGCCGCAATTGCACGCACGGTTCTCCAATAAACATACGCGGGTACTGGTTTATGACGGACGCGGCTCACGGTTAAGGTTGGGTTCCCGGTCTCTAACCACTATGTCGGTTATGCTGTCAAGCGGTATACACGTAGGTAGCGGCTTAACTCCGAACCGTGATGTTACGACACGGACGTCTACTCTACAGACTGTTTCAAAATCGGATATAAATAGACACTGCAAAGTTTTATGAATAAAATATTTTTGCAGATGGAAAATACTTAGTTCAGACATTTTTATAAGTTATACTACACGGGTGCAGACATCTACTGTACAGACTGGCTCTAAATCAAATATAAATAGACATGGAAAAGCTTTATAAATAAGACATCTTCACAGATGAAACATTTTTAGTTATTTCCTTTTTTCATTTAATGGAGTTCTATCGGTAATAAAATTAATCAAATTTTAATGAAAGCTGGTATACTTCTAAGTAAAACTTTTAAAAG